TTCCTGAGTTCAAATCTAGCCTCAGACACTTACTAGCTGTGTGACCCTGGGCAAGTCACTTAACCTTGTTTGCCTCCACAAAACGAGGTGGATAAGGAAGTGGTAAACCACTCCAGCATCTGCCAAGAAAACCCCAAATGGGGCCATGGAGAGTTAGATGCGACTGAAAAAGGACTGAACAACAGTGTAGGTTCTGGCTTCTCTCCTAATCCTTCTGGGCTCCCTGCTTCTGAGAGGTCTCCTTCCTCATGTTTTCTGCTGGCTCTCTGCTGAGCTTCCTCTTTACCTTTCTCATACTCTGCTTTGTGTACTACTTATTTGTCTACATGTTGGACCTCCCTTTTAGACTGTAAGCTCCCCAAGGGCAAAGACTGTCTTGTTTTCCAATTTTGTATGGAGAGGAGAGGAAGGGAAAGGGAAAAGGAAAAGGAAGGAAAGGGAAGGGAAGGGAAGGTTAAGAGAAAGGAAAGAGGGGAGGAAAGAGAGAAGGAAAAAGGGAAGGAAAAGGGAAGGGGAGAAATCTATGATTTCATTAATATGAGGAAATTGCCTCTGCCAGGGCAGCTCTACATTTGCTCTGCAAAGTCTTACAGCAGAAATTCTTAGCCCAGGGTCTACAGACCCCTCCCCCCAAAAAAAAGGTTGTCCATGGATAGATTTCAGAGGCCCTGTGAACTTGGAAGGGGGCAAAATTACCTTTTTTTAAAAAATGGTTTTTTTAAATATATTTAAATATTTTATGTAACCCTATTTTATTTTCCTTAACCTCTAACTAAAACATTTCCTTCAATTATGTAAAAACATTATTCTGAGAAAGGGGTCCACAGGCTTTCACCAGACCACCAAAGGGGACCATGATCCCCAAGAAGGATTAAGTACTCCTGTCTTAGAGAGTTGCCTGGCTCCATTGAGAAGTGAGGTGACTTGCCTGGGGTCACACAGCTAGTATGTACCAAAGGTAGAATTTTAACTCTAGGCCTCTGTCCACAAGGGCGCTCTTTCTTGTCTGCCACGCTGCCTTTCCCCTGGGATGTAGCATGGCTGAAGAAATGTTTGTTGAAATGGTCTAATGGAAAATAATGCCATAAAACAAGATGCAGAGTAGGAGTCCTTGAGCCCTGGGCCCACGTGTGTTTGGATTTCCTGACCTGTTCTTATCCAGAGTTCCCATCTGTACCCGCAATGCCCCTAACCACTGAACCTGAGCCCTTCCCTACCCTGGGAACAAAGCAGCCACGACCTGGGCTCTATAGCCACCTGCACGTGGGACTCTGCTCCTCCCTTATTTCCTCCATTCTCCAGGGAGGTCTCTTGTACTTGAGAGTGGGGTGAGGCCGCCAAAGCTGTCCTCCAGTCCACAAGGAGCTGAGCTCTCCACTCCCTCCCTCCCCCCCGGACCTCAGTTGCATCCTCTCTTTCCCTCTCCAGTTCCCCCACCCCAATCAGGTCTCCCAAATCCTATATGAGTCCCTGGTCAGCTGCGAGTTCCTTGGATTCTCACCCTCCCGATTCCTCGCTGCAGGTGATCGCAGGGAGGTGCCTCTGTTCCTAGAACAATGGAGACAGAAACAAATTGCTTTGACACGGGCAAGAAAATGGTCTGATTAAGCAGGGGCCGCAGAGGCAGGTCATCGGACCCTGGGCACTGGGCCCTTGGGTCCAGGGTATTCATTAGGAGAGCTCATTGTGTGCCTGCTGTCCCTGCCCCCACCGCCCACTCTTCCCTGCCAACAAAACTGGGTGTCTAGAATGGGGAATGGGAGGGGGGGAGAGGGAGGGAAAGAGAGAAAGGACTCAGCTCCCTCTGCTCTCCTTCCCTGCCTTGCAGCCAGGCTGGCCGGGCCCTGCAGTTAAATCACGTATCACAGAACCTCAGAGTTGGAAGGGAACTTGGTTTTTATCTAGTCCAACCTGTTCCCTTCTGGCACATCCTTGGCATGAGCTCCTCCGGGCTCTATGTAATGAACCCCAGGAGAGAGGAGTCCCCCACCTCCTCAGGCAGCCCCTTTCACCTTCAGATGACTTTGGTTTTAGAGAGGTTCTTCTGTGTATCCTGCTGAAATCTGTCTACACCTAAGACAGCCTCTCTCCAAAGCCTCCAAGGGAGAATCAGAGAAACCTTGCGGCCAATGGAGGCAAGGAGCCCTCTGAGGAGATGCCCAGACATCGCTGGCTCAACGCCAGGCTCAGGCTAGCTCTCCTTCTCCTGGGGGCCAACTTTGAGTTTAAGAAACTGAAGGAGGCGAGAGGGGGATTGGGGCAGAAACTGGTCTAGCCCAGGCACAACTGTGAAATAGATTGTTTATTTTTCAGTCCCTCTTCCTCCCCCACCTGCCCTTTTATGTAGTAATAACAGAAACTGTAGAATGCTCAAGGCGAGGAGGGAACATTGAATCCAGCCCTTTCTTTTTACAGATGAGGAAAGTGAGGCAAGCAGAGGCTAAGTGATGTGCGTCAGGTTACGTAGATGTGAAAAATAGCAAAGCCGGATTCAAACCCAGGTCCTCTCACTCCAAATACAAATGATACCAATTTTCCTATAGAAAACCAAAATTTTAAATGTGGCTCCCAAGCACATGATCTTAGCTACCCTCCCCCTCCAGATCAACTGCTGTTATCTTCATCTTACAGATCAAGGAGCAGAGAGAGGAGAGAGGCTGAATAACTTGGGTGGGCTGGGGTCCAATGATTAGAATACTTGAGCTGGAGTCAGGAGCACCCGAGTTCAAATTTAGCCACTTAATAGCTGTATGACCCTGGGCAAGTCATTTAACTTCAGTTTCCCCATCTCTGAAATTAGCACCTACCTTCCAAGTTTGTTGTAAGGATCAAATGAGATACTATTTGTAAAGCACCTGGCACGTAGTAGGCACTATATGAATGTTAGCTATTATTATAGTTATTGTTGAAGGTCATATTTATCTCTACTATAACACAATGCACTCTCTCCTTAGGGAGAAATCAGTGCCTAGACCAGAAAAGAGACCAAGCAGGCTCTACCCCATTTAAGACCCCTCGGTCTACTTTGGTGGTTGTTGTTCAGTCGTTTCAGACTCTTCATAGGGGCAGCTAGGTGGCACAGTGGATAGAGCACCAGCCCTGAAGTCGGGAGGACCTGAGTTCAAATCTCAGCCTCAGACCAAACACTTGACATGTACTAGCTGTGTGACCCTGGGCAAGTCACTCAACCCCAATTGCCTCACCAAAAGGCTAAAAAATAAAAGGATGTCTATTTTGCAAGTAGAAGGGCTAGCTTTGGTAAAAAGTAAGGCCACCTTTTTGTGTAAGATAAGAGATGGAGGAGATAGTGTCAGAAGGCATCTGAGTGATATGAGATGGGGAAGAAGAAAGAAGAGGAAGCTCACAGTCAATGAGCCTCATTTTTTTCTGTGAAATATAAGGCAAGGAGGGAGGTGGGAAGGGAGGGGGAGAAAAATGTAAAACTCAAAAGTTATGGAAGTGATTGTTGATAAATCAAGATAAATTAATAAAAAAAGAAAGAAATATAAGGCAAGGTTATCAACTGAGAAAATAGGGGGAGAGGAAGCCAGAAAGTTTGAGGCGAGATGAAAAGATTTGGAAGAGCTGCTGTGGAGAATGGGATAGTGAACTGATAAGGGAGTTGTAGGATTGCCTAGTAAGAGGGAAGGCCCAGTTGATGTGATGGTATGTTAAGCAGCAGATGTGCACGAGCAAAGGCATCTGGGAAGGCGGTGGGAGTCATCCAAGGCTGATATTTAGCAAGGTCCAATCAATAATATACCACCAGAGCCTTTCACAAGTTTTCAAATTACATCCGTAGCATCCAGGGACAGTGTGGCCTAGTGGACAAAGAGTTAGTCTCCAGAGTGAGGGGAACCTGCCTCTGTTACATAATAATGGCTGTAGGCCCCTAGGCAAGTCTCTACAACTACAAATTTCAGAGAAGGTAGAAAAAATGTCTTCATAATACCAGTGAAATCACAATTCCAATACCGTCTCATCTTAAGATCTGAAGGCCCATCCAGGCTGCCATGTACACTCTCTATTTAGTCAGTATTAAATGGACATCCAGAATTAAATACATACTTCAGAGTTGCTCTGGACAGGATTTCTTTCAATCAAGTCTAAGGCTCAAGTAACTTTTGATTGCCATATGCCATGGCTCATATTGGGTTTTCTCAAAAAAACCCAGATCATCCCCCTCCCCATGAACTGCTACTATATAGCCATGCCCTACTTGTGAAGTTGACTTTTTAAACCCAAGTCTAAGATTTTACATTTATCCTTAAGAAATTTTACCTCAAACAAGACATTCTCAAAGATGCAAAAAAGTCTTCAGGACCTAAAAGAATGAACCTCTGGTGCTAGAATTTCATGCGCCCTGGCAGTCCGTGGGGAAAATATCTTTTGGGGAGCTTTCTTTGAAGGTACCCTTCAAATCATAGCATTAGTGTCAACAAGCATTTGACAGAATTGGAAGGGGTCTCAGAGGATGTCCAAGAATTCCCTCCATTGTTCAGTTATTATGTGCTAGGCACTGAAGGAGATGCAGGGAAGATTAAAGATGCATACCCTGCCTTCAGGGGTCTGGTTGGGGAGATAAGGCACCTGTGTCCTGGGGCAGCTAGGTAGTACAGTCGACTGATAGAGTGCTGGGCCTGGAGTCAGGTAGACTCAACTTCCTGAGTTCAAATCTGGCCTCAGACACTAACTAGCTGTGTGACCCTGGGCAAGTCACTTAAGCCTGTTTGCCTCAGTTTCCCCATCTGTAAAATGAGCTGGAGAAGGCTATGGCAAACCACTCCAGTATCTTTGCCAAGAAAACCCCAAATGAGGTCACAACGAGTTGGACACAACAAGTCCTGTGAAAAGGATCAATAGATGATCAATAGATCAATAGGTGAGGCAGGGGTGGGAAAGGGAGTAGAGGAGCCTCCCTACCCTTCCCAGAAGGCCTTCTTCCCCATGCATAGGCATTGTAGTCTCAGGAACTGAGAGCAGAGCTTGTCACCCCGCAGACCCCAGTGACTGGAGTCCAGGGAACGTGCAGAAGTGGCTGCTTTGGACAGAGCACCAGTACCGGCTGCCTCCAGTGGGCAAAGCCTTCCAAGAGCTGGGGGGCAAGGAGCTGTGTGCCATGTCGGAGGAGCAGTTCCGCCAACGTTCACCCCTCTGTGGGGATATTCTGCATGCCCACTTGGACATCTGGAAATCAGGTAGGCATGGGTAGGGGCTGAGGGGCAATGGGGCAAAGGCTAGGCTACACAAACCCAAGGGGTTACTACTCCCCTGCCGCTTCTCCCTGGCCACTGCTACCCACTGTGATATACCACCCTGTGATGACCCTTATCCTGGATTAGAATACACCAAGAAGATGCATCTGGGTCCAGGTGGGGGGGTCATCTACTCTCTTCCAGAGAAAACCGATCCCTTTGCCCTAACCCTTCTTTCAGGCACAAGCCCTTTGATCTTGGCCCTCAAGCCCATCTCCTGCTACATCCCCATCCCTTAATGTCACGAATAGGATATTGAACTTGCAGTCAGAAGGCTTGGGTTCAAATCCCCCCCTCAGACACAGGATAGCTGTGTGATCCTGGGCAAGTCATTTAATTTCTCTGTGCCTCAGTTTTCTCATATGCAAAATGAACTTAGTGGCTTATGAGGTCCCTTCTAGATCTAAATCTGATTCTCTGCTCCAGCCCTACCTGTGGTCCCATTCTCAATCCTGATTCCATTCCTGTTCCCATCCTCAGCACCAGCTCCAGCCCTGCCCTAATCCTTGGTATACTTCTGACTCTCCAATCCCCTCTATCATCCTGGGTCACACTCCTTTGCATGAACTCCAACCTGCCAATATTCTTCCCCAAATGGGACACCTAGAAGTGAACACTCTGTATGTGCCCTATCTCCTCATTCTTTCTGGATACCACTCCTCTCTTATTAAGTTCTTTTCCCATACTGCTGACACACTTATTTTGAGCCTTGCAGTTCATTTCCCTGACTCAGAAGGAAGCAATGTGGTCCAGGAGAAAGAAGGCTGGATCTGAGTCAGAGGACCTGGATTCCAATCTCCCCTCTAGTGCTGACTGCCTGTGTGATCTGGGATAGATCATGTTACTTACCCTGTTTCAGTCTCCTCATATGTAAAATGATGGCCTCTGAGGGCCCTTCCAGCTCTAGGCCCAGGGTCCTAAGGTCCCTGTCTTCCTCTTCCCTGACACTCAGGCTGGTGCCTCTGTGATTCTCATCAAGCCCTTCCTTCTGCTACAGCCACCTGGATGAAAGAGAGAACCTCTGGAGCTCTGCATGTTTGTGGTAAGCTCCTTGGGAGGTTTGGGTTTGGGTGGGGGGTGAGGGGGTGAGGGGGGGGCAGACAAGCCAAGGCAAACGGGGGGCCCTCCAGACCTCAGCAGTGTGTCTCTCCTCCCTTCACCCCCCAAGCAGTGGGGAGTGAGGAGACCTGGAACGACAGCGAAGTGGACTCTTCCTGCTCTGGCCAGCCTATCCACCTCTGGCAGTTCCTTAAAGAGCTACTGCTCAAACCACACAGCTACGGCCGCTTCATCCGATGGCTCAATAAGGAGAAAGGTGAGCGGTGGGAGTGGTGTGGGAAGGGCCATACTGGGAACTGAGGATACTGAAGGCAAGGAGGACCGCTGAGCAGGAGAGGGAGGGGATGAGAAGACTTCAGGGATGGGAAAGGGGAGGGCAGACAGGGTCCAGAGGAGGAATCTAGACTTTAGAGACCCCCTGGGCCCACCTTCAGAGAAGAAAACTGAGGTGTAGAGAAGGGAAATGATCTGAGCAAAGGAGCATGATAAGTCAGTGCCAGGCCAATTCAGATTCTTGGGTTTGCATCTTGTCTACCACATACTATCTGGTTTTGTTTTGTTTTGGCTAGGCAATGAGGTTAAGTGACTTACCCAAGGTCACACAGCTAGTGAGTGTTATGTGTCTGAGCCTGGATTTGAACTCAGGTCCTCCTGACTCTAAGGCCAGTGCTCTATCCACTGTGCTACCTAGCTGCACTTACTATCTGGTTTTTTAAACAGTATTTTATTGTTTCCAATTACATGTAAAGACAAATTTTAACATTCATTTAAAAAAAATTTTGAGTTCTAAATTTTCTCTCTCCCTCTTTCACCTCTCTCTTCCCTAAGACAGTAAGCAATTGGGTATAGTTCATACATGTACAATCACATAAAACATATTTCCATGTTAGTCATACTATGTACTATTTGTGCGAACTTGGTCGGGTTGCTTCATATTTCTCAGCTTCCTATTCTGTAAAAGGAAGGGGTTGGGCTAGAGAGGAAGGGGAAAAGCATTTATTAAGTAACTGCTGTGGACCACACTGGAGAAGGAAATGGCAAACCAGTCCAATATCTTTGCCAAGAAAATCCCGTGGACAATATTGGCTTGCTATGGTCCATGGGGTCATGAAGAGTCGGACACAGCCGAACAATTCAACAATAACACAACTATGTGTTTGGCACTGTGCCAGGCACTTCACAAATATTATCTCATTTGATCCTCACAAGAGCCCTGGGAAGTAGGTACTATTATTATCTGCCATGTCCTTCTCCAGCTCATTTTACAGATGAGGAAACTGAGGCAAACAGGGTTAAGTGACTTGCCCAGGGTCACACAGCTAGTGGGTGTCTGAGGCCAGATTTTTAACTCCTGAAGGGGAGTCTTCCTGATTCCAGGCCTGGTGCTCTTATCCACTTCACCACCTAGCTGCCCCTGAATTTTCTCATATGTCTTCATGAAGTCCTGCTTGATCTTTACAATTCTGTTACATTCATTTTTGATTTTGTTGGGTGTGGTTGGCAACTCCATTTATATAGCTGTCGTCACTGTCTGTGTTATTTTCCTGATCCCGTTTACTTCACTCTACATCAGTTGTGAGGATCAAATGAGATAATATTTGTAAAAGAGTTTAGCACAGTGCTATATAAATATTAGTTATTATTATTATTCAAAGAAAACTAAAAAGGAGCTGAATTCTGATTAATTGTAACGATTAATCTTGGTTCCTGAAGTTGGAATAGATAATTAAACAAGCCTTGCTCCTTAGTCTCAAGCAAGAAGACTTTGGGTACACAATGCTGAATACACTGCTGGTGACTTATAAATGCCTGTTGACTGGGCTCATACCCCAAGCAAGCCATCAGTAGGAAGAAAGCCACCATACGCACCAAAGCATTTCCAAGCAGCACTTTTTGTAACAGCAAAGAGTTGGAAACAAAGTAGATGCCCATCAAATGGTTAAATGGCTAAACAGACCGTGGCCCGTGAATATAATGGAATATTATTGCACTGTCAGAAATGATATATGTGATGAATACAGAGAAGCATGGAAAGATCTACATGAACTGATGTAGAGTGAAGTAAACAGGATCAGGAAAATAACAGAGTGACGACAGCTATATAAATGGAGTCGCCAACCGCACCCAACAAAATCAAAAATGAATGTAAAAGAATGGTAAAGATCAATGTATTCACTTTTGGGAGGGGGTGTTCTTTCTACCACAAAAATTCATGCCTATGTTCTCATTTCTGTTCTTTTTCTAAGTTCTGATTTTGATTTTTTTGCTTTAACAAGCTAATGATTTGGCGGCCAATCTGTAAAGCATCCCACGCATCAGTAACCATCCATTTCCTGTCTGTTCAATTTTAGTCAAGGGATTTTGGCTGTTATTTAGTGTTCATCTTCTTGAATGACATATTCATGGTATATGGTTTTGTATAAACTGCAAGTTTTCAGCCTTTTGGGTTTCTTGATCCTGAGCCATATTTTCCAACATATTTTTCACTATCCTCCTCCATGCTGACAACGGCCTTATAGCCATCAAATGAATGTTAAGTTATATGTCAATTTTATTTGGAAGGACTTAGGGATACTGTCATGTAATTTCTCCAACTCTTTACCCTCTGTCTCAGTTGTCATACGTAAGCTGCAGTTATTTTCATGGTGATCTTTTTTGTTTACACTTGATACTAGCAATGCAAGGGGATATGGCTTCATGTCCCACAAAGAGCCATTTCTTGTTGCGTTTGCCCTATATGACAAAATTAACTTCATCCTCCATTTGCCTTTTTTTTTTTTTGGCTAGGCAATGGGGTTAAGTGACTTGCCCAGGGCCACACAGCTAGTAAGTGTTATGTGTCTGAGGCCAGATTTGAACTCAGATCCTCCTGAATTCAGGGCCGGTGCTCTCTATCCATTGCACCCCCAGCTGCCCCTTCCATTTGCTTTTGCCAAGGAGAACCCATGCGCTGTTCTCCCACCTAACTGCATCTTCCTAATATCTTCTGATCGCATCTATCATGAGAATGTAAAGACTGATACAATTCATTTTCTTCAAAAAAATCTAAATAATTTCCTCCAGCTGTAAGCTGTCCTGGTGGTAAGCTGTGACAAAGACATCACATTTGGAGTACCAGCAGTTAGGTTATCTATGCTGATTCTCACCACCCTCGGCCCCCTTTTCCAATACTCTGCCAATGTCAGTGGAGGAGAAGAAGGGGCCCACATGGGACTGAGGATCATTTTGTGCTTTCCTTTTGTTTCATGGGTTTCCAGGTCATCACCACAGTGGCCATATGTGGTCCCACTAGTAGAGGGTGTCTGCTTTCCAAAGACCAGGCTGGCAATCTTGCCCCACCCCAGAAAGAGTATTTTAGGGAAAAGGGTAATCTGGAAGCCATCCATCCTCAGTGATTCAGACAGTCCTGCCTGAAGGCACAAAGATGAACTCGTAGACTTACCAGACTAGTGGGATATTTCTAATTAGCTTGAAGGGCGGGAGAGGTTTAGGGAGGGAATAGTCACATCCCATCAACTCCTCCTTCTTTCCCTACTGCAGCCTGGTCTAGAGTGAAGACTTCGACTTGACTCTCCAAACATCCCCCTATCCCAAATTTTCCACCATCCAGGAAACTGATCTAAATTAACTTCATCTCTCTCTTTCTTTGTCTCTCTGTCCTTTACTCTGCTCTCCTATCCTGATTCCCTACACTCCCATGACAAACCTTCTCCAGGCATTTTCAAGATTGAGGACTCAGCCCAGGTGGCCCGGCTGTGGGGCATTCGCAAGAATCGTCCAGCCATGAACTATGACAAGCTGAGCCGTTCCATCCGCCAGTATTACAAGAAGGGGATCATTCGCAAACCCGACATCTCCCAGCGACTGGTTTACCAATTTGTGCATCCTGTTTGAGTGGGGGGCAACCCCGGATGCAGGGAGCCAGGAGAGGGACAGAGCAGGACTGGGACCCTGATCTCACCCCACTGGCTTACCTCTCTCTCAGCTTGCCCCCCACCCCAACCTAGGCCCTGCCTGCTCTACCCAGAACCCCCTGACCCTAGTCAGTGCTGCTGGGAACTGTGCTCAGGCCAAGGAGACTGGGAAGGCTGAGCTCCAGATTGGCTCATTTCCCAGCCCCAGAGCTGATCCCTGTCCAAGGAACAAGGGGCCTGTGTTGGGGAGGTGGAGGACTGGTCTTCTCTTAGAACAAGCACAAGTATATTCTGGGGTACTGGGGCCCTATAGGGGGTGGGGTCTTTCTTTGGCCAAATTGTTGACCTGACTCTCCTTCCAAAATATTAACCTGCTCTCTTACCCTATTCTATGCTCTATGCTCTCCAATGGGGGAGAACACACACACACACACACACACACACACACACACACACACACAGAGTCACTATGACTTAAGACTGGAATGACCTCTCAAGGGAGGACTCTTTCAGCTGTTTATTGCCACATTTCCCACACCCTGGCTTGGGATCCCAACCCAACTGTAGACTCCCAAGGGCCCCTGGATGCCAGTTATCAGCCTTTCCACTCTCAGTTCACCCCATAAAGGTTCACTGAGAACCTGGTCTGTGCTTTGGGCTAGGAAGGGGTAGATGGGTGGGAAGATGGATGCTAGAGAAATCAGAGGCTTTGTCCTTAAGTAGAAGGAAGTCATGGTCTAGTTGGGGAAGCACCCACATACACATAAACATGCACACAGATCAAAAAATGGGAATCCAGCACAGAGTGTGACTAAATACAGACTAGAAGGATTCAGAGGAAGGAGGGAAGGACTGATGAATTGTCTATGCTGGGGGAGGGAGCTGCCAGAGGAGGCTTTGCCGAGGAAGAAGATGGGGAAAACTTGAAGGATGGGCGGGAAGATGGAAAAAGAATCTGGGAGAATAGTATGGAAGGAGATGTATGAGCCAAAGCAAAGAGGTAGAAATGATCATGATGGTGGCAGCAAGGATAATCTGTCTTTTTTTTAGCTCCATCCCTTGAATTCCTGGAGTTTGCTTAATCTGAAGCTAGGGTCAGGGGTGGGGTGAAGGGTCTCTTACTTTTCCTTGCCAGCACAAGCCTGGGGTGACAGGCTTGGCCTGATAGTTGCCTCCCGGAGGGGAGAGGGAAGAAGAATGAGACAAAGGGATTTCGAAGGTTGAGTAGCCCCAAGCCCTCACACCAGGCCCATCTGACCAGGGCCTGCTACCCTGACAGATGCAGGTGCCTCCCCATCTCCCCCCATTCTTACTCTCGCCAAAGGAAGCTTTTATCCTCACAAGCCTTTGGGAGAATATCTAGAGTGGGGGTGGAGGAGGGGATATGATCCCCTTATCCTTTCCTGGCTCCCTTAGGCGTCACACTTTGTAAATGGGTCTGTCTTGGAGTCTCTTAGGAGAGTTGGAGGTGAGCTCAGGTCAGTGGGATTGTCAAGCCCCCAACCCCAGAAGTTACTTGTTTGTCTCCTTTGTGAACAGACCTCGAGAATCCCCATCCCATCAGGAGTGTTTCTGTGAATGTGTCTATTTCCAGACTTGTGAGGGTGGGAGAGTTAGTGACAACTGAAGAGGTGTGGAGATGTGCGTGTGAGAGAGAGGGCAGGTGCAAGTAGGTGTGAGCTTTAACGAGGAGGTCTGAGACTCTCAGTTCCACGGCAACTTGCTTGTTTGAGAGAAACTGTGATTCTCTCCTCCCCACCCCCAACCCCCAAAGAGTCACAAGAGCATAGATTCAGAGCAGAAGGAAACTCAGAGCCATTGAATCCAACTCCCCCATTACACAGGTCAGGGTACTAAGGCCCAAAGAGCTTCACCTGAGCTGACACAGTGAATTAGTGGCAGAGCCAGAATTGCAACCCAAGACCTTTGAGTCCGAATAAGAGATGGAGTCAGAGCCAAAGTGAGCCTCAGAGAACTGAGGGTTAATCCCAGTTTCCTGGACTGTCTTTTTCTACTCCCCAGCAGTTTTATTGTCAAGGGAAAAGTTTACTTCTGAGCTGAGCAAACAGAATGTTGGCATCTTCTGTGCCCTCTGACTGGCTCCAGCAAAGGGGTTGCTTCTGTCTCCGTCCCCCTTGCCTCTGGCCTCCCCTGATCACAGAATCACAGGACTGGAGAGTGGGAAGGGACAGCAGCAGCAGCCGATCTGGATGAGCCAAGTCTCTGCCCTCCCATCCTGTCCCATCCAGTCCCATCCCCTAGCAGGGGAGGAGGAAGGCTCGAGCCCCAGGCCATATCCTTAGCACTCGGTTTGTCTCCTCCCAGTTCCTCTAGGGCCCATCTTCGGCTTCCCTGGCTCGGGCCGTGACAGGAGTTCTGGGTGATTCTCTCCTTCCCTCAACACCCCTCCCTCTAGATCCAGGGGCTGGGAAGAACATCTGAGTCAGGGGTCTGCTGTCTCGAGGCCACATGTAGTCTTCTAGGTCCTCAAGTGCTGCCCTTTGACTGAATCCACACTTCACAAAACAAAAATCCCCTTCACAAAAGGATTTGTTCTGTAAAACTTGGACTCGATTAAAAGACCACACCCAAGGACCTAGAAGGCCACATGTGGCCTCGAGGCCATAGGTTCCCCACCCCAATCTAGGTAGAAGAGCTATCTCATGGATCTGAGGCAGGGAAGAGTCAGAGGAAAAGGAAGGAGAGTCAGATGGGCAAGAGAGGCTAGGGTCTTAGGGTGCGGGTGGATGCTTCAGGAAGAGGGAGGAACAGGAATAGAATGGGGCAGGGGTAGGAGGGTAGCTCTATCTAGTTGTATGTACTTCCAGGCACACAGAGGTATAGGAGACTCCATCTCACACATCTGCTTCGCAGCCTTGGCAACCCTGACAGGAATCTGCAAGTGAGGCTTGTACTATGCCACAAACTGTGCCCTGCCCCTACCTAGACCAACTCCTCCATTTCCCCAGCACCTGCTTTTTTGTGCTCCCAAACACTAGGCCCATGCCTCAACTCTTCAAAAAAGTCCTTTCCCTCCAACCAGGTGTGACCCCCATTACCAGGGTCCCACCAATAACCAAGCTCATATACATGAATAAAATAGTTTTGTCTTTATTCACAGATTTGGGGGTTGTCAAGGGGTCAGGGGGTCTGATTGGGACCTGGGGTCCTTCCCCTCTAGTATATCTGCTGGACAGAGAGGGGAGAGGGGACAGGCAGGTTGGACAAAGGTGCAAACTCAGACTGTGATGAAACAGCGATGGGGTGGCCTCGTGTCACTGTATCTGCTCACCAGGCCCTGTTCTAGGACCTCAGAGTTGACCATGAAGAGAACCTTCTTCAGAGGTTTGGTGGGAGATGGGATGGGGCAAGAGGAAGGAAGGATGTTAATATACATTGGGTCACCTGTTTTTTCCCAGCACCACACAGCTTGGAACCCTGTTTGTCCCCATGAGTTTCTAATTCAGATAGAAGGACCCTCTTCCTAACCAACTGCTCCTCACCAGTTTGGAGGCTGAGCTAGGATTCTTCTCAGGGTGACTAAAGCCGGGTTCTCTGAAAGCCACCTCTTCACATTCTGACCCTCCATTCATCCATGCAGGACGACCATGGACAACCATGAGGTGCTCCTCATAGGGAATATCACCGAATTGCAGAACCAGAGACTCTCAGAGTTAGGACTTTATCTTAGGGAAAGGACTGTATATTCTGATTGACCCACCCTGCTCTGTCTTACCCCAGGGAAACTATACCTCAGGATCCAGTTTCCTTCTCACCCTAACCACCCCCACCCCCACCCCAAGCCTTCTTTGCTCCTGTCCCTGGGGCTACAGCTGGGGAAAGAGTTCCCAACTGTGCCCTAGGCACTATTTGGAGAACTCTTGCCGTAAGAAGCAACTTCACCCACTACAGGGACACCAGGCTTCCCTGCCCACTCTGGACAGTGGGGGTTGAGATAGATAAGAAAAGCAATAAAACCCAATATAATGAGAGTCAACCCTTCCCCACCTCCCATTTTGCAAAGGAGGAAACAGCTAGAGGAAGGAAAATGACTTGTCCAAGGCCTCCAAAGTAATAAGTGGCAGACTGGTATTGCTGCCAATCCTGATTCCAAATCTGTCACACTGTCTCTTTATCCCTCATGCATGGTGTAGTTATAGATTTGCCCCTGGCCCTTTCCTGGGGATCGTTCTGCTTGAGTTGGGATGGGAGGAACGGGGAGTTAAGGGAAGAGCCTGGGGATAGGTATTGGGAACTGGGCAGCAAAGGGAGGTGGTGGAGTAAGTGGGGTGGCCAAGAAGTCCCCAAAGTCATTGCTGGTAGGCTAGGGAGCTCAGGAGCCCAGTGAACAAGGTTGCAGCAATGCAAGGGCAGTCACCAGGCCTTGGGAAGTCAGCCTACCAAACCTCTACCTCACAGCCCCCATCCCTGGCCTTGTCTGTGCCCAGGTCTTGACCTCTCTGTCCCTCTATTTCCTCCATGAAACCTTTTCCAAATACCTTCAGTCCCTGGTAACCTCAGAACGAATCTCAGAGTTATTAGGGACCTTCTTGTTCTATTCCTGCATGAATAACTGCATCCCTCTCCCCCACCCCCACCCCACCATGATATTCTCCATAAGAGGTCATCTGACTTCTTCCTGAACACATTCAGTGGAAGGGACCTCACTACCTCCTTCAGCATCTCAATTCCTCTACAGGGCACATCTCATTGATGAGTGGTTTTTCCTTTTATTGAACTAAAAACAATCTCTCTTCAACTTCTATGTATTATTCCTCATTTCTCCCTTGTTCTAATCCCTCTTCCGAATGACACCTCTTTAGACATCTGGACACAGCTGTCAGGTGCCCACTAAGTCTGACCTCCTCATTGGCGTGTCTTGTTTCCAATGCCCTCTTCCATGAGAGGTCATCCAGTCTCTGCTGGTCCTCGAGATGATAGGATGGTAAAGCTGGAAGGGACCAACCAGGCCAACCCCCTCCTCTTACAGGACAGGAACCTGATGTCCAGAGAAGCCACTTGCCTGAGGATACTGAGCAAGTTCTCAGCAGGAAATGAGACAAGAACTAGAATTTGCTGAATCCCTGGGCCAGCACCTTTTCTACAGCACCACTTTTTCTCTCTGTGGACCTGCCCCATCATGGTAACCAGACTCTGAAAGAAAATCTCAGGAGGTTTCTCGGACCCCAGGAGTAGAGGATATTCAAATTAAGATAAAGTCCAAGAGACAGCAACAGGTTTCTGGTTTTTATCCAGTCAATCACAGTATATAAATATATATATATATATATGTATGTATGTGTGTATGTATGTGTATGCATGTATTTGTTTGAATGTGTGTGTGTATTGTGGGGTGGGAGTGGGGATGGACCACAACGGAGGAGTGAGGCTGTATGTGTGTGTATATTATGGGGCCATCACCACTGGCCTTCTCACATTCCCTTGTAGATGCCCCTTCAGATTGGGTAAGTCAAGGTAGAGGCCAGCCCCAAAGTCCCAGAAGAGCCGGAGAAGGCTGATGTGGAAATGCTCCTGGGACAGAGTATGGGGATAGGGACTTCTCAGCAGTCAGAAGAGTTGGAGGCCCCAGAACAATTCCTTGGGCAAGAAGGAAGGCATGGCTAGGTTGGAGTCCAGTGCAAAAAGAAAAGAAGGGAGACTTAGAGATTGGGTAAAGCAGCAAGCCCCTCCCTTCCATAACTACAGAGATGCCTCTGGACCTGTCACTAAGAATGGCACCCACATCCTAAGATGCATAGGTGTCCTATCATTTCCGTGAGGACGGGCATGGGGAAGTGAGGAGAGGAGAAAATAAGAGGCAGAGTCCCACTATCCTAACTAGCTTTAGGAATAACCAAGAGAGACTTGCTTCTGGGATCAGGAGCCGGATTATAATAGTTAACATTTATATATCATTTACAGTGCCAGACACTGTGTTAAGTGCTTTGCGATGACTGTCTCATTTGATCCTCATAACAACCCTGGGAGATAGGTGGATTCCTGGACCCTTTCTGCCTATCCAGATGGGGTGAAGATGGGGAGTGTGTACAACGTTGATTGGAAGCTTCCTGCAACAAGGCTTTGAGTTTTACAGGGGACCATCTCAAATCAGAGTGGAAGTCTAAAGCTGCATCAGTGGTGGGGAGAGAAGGAGTGGGAAGATTTGTTGGTGTGGCTAAAGGCTGGGGAGGGGGCAGTGCACCTAGGGGGTGGCTGCCTTGGATCATAGGGAGAGATCAGATCCAGCCCCACTCATCAAGGGCTCCGAAGAATCTGAGAGTTAAAGCCTCGGGTTAGATTCTAGGAAAATGATAAAGTCAAGGCATCTGGAGGCAAAAAAAAAGAAAATACCCAAGAATTTTTTTCGGGGGGTTCTTTGTGACCCTGGCTGAGTAAGGGGTTTCTCTCCATGGTCCTAAGCTTCGAATTCCACTTCCACCGCTCCCACTGGCTCAGTCTTCCTTTGGCTTCAGCAGCAATAAAGGGGGGAGGGGCAATCAGATTAAAAAATAAAGGATCTTGATGCTGCTAGAATTGGCCTCTGTTTAGCATGCTCTAGGAGGTGGAGGAGGATTGAATATTTCCAAGGGCTGGGATGGAGAGCTGCTAAGATCAGGTCTCACCTGGTATTTCATGACCATCCATTGGCATCAGCTTCCCAGGGAGACCCAACTACGGGACCCTACAGTTTTGTGGGTCACCAGGACACCCTTCGCTACCACTACTCCCTACTACTAGACCCAGATGCACTCCAGTAGCAAGAGGTTGGTCTGGATGGAGGCAGGGAAGGCCCTGTGGAGACTTCACTCATCCTATTCCAGGCCTGCTGGCCTTTTTCTTGAATGGAGTTAATCTCCCAAGCACCTCTGTAGCTGCCCAGACAGGAGGAGGCAAAGATCTCAAATCCTTCATCTTTAGTATCTCTTGCCTTCCATTTTGGCAGAAAATTCTTTCATCCTTGTCTGTAGGGACTACCAGCCTTCTACCTCAAACCTCCTAAGCTCACCTGGCCATGGTCCAAGCTTGCCTAGACTAAAGAGGTGGGGAGAGAAGGGGAGTGGAAACAAGCTCGCTGCCTCCCTGACAAGATGAAGATGAAGGAATCAAGGAGAAAAGAAGACCCCAGGGAGATCAGACTACTGTGTCATCTAAGGCAGTAGCCATCTTGCTAAAGTGTCAAGGCTTCCACCTTCTAGAGAACAAAGGCTGCTTTTTCCCTGTCCATTCTTCCTCCTAAATGTATTGGGAGTCACATGGAGTCCTGTCCAGTAGAGGGTCAGGTTGGGGGAGGGGGGAGTGACCTAAGTTTCTAGGAGTAACTCTCTTGAGGAAGAGGGGAGAGGGTAAAAAGAGAGTAGCCCTAGGATTCTGAATGGAGGTAGAGCGAGCTAAGAGGAACAACATCGTTGCCCCTCCCATGGGAATCCCTCCCCTTCTCCCTTGCCAGTAGCCCCACAGACCCAAGGTTTCAAAGGCTGTTTCCCAATCACAATCTCACTCAGGCTTTTAGGGACAGAGTATCTACAGTGCCTACTCCAGGCCAGAAAGGGGAAAGGGAAGGATAAGATACGCAGAAGTGGAGAGGGAAAATGGGGTCCACATGGTCTATCTAGAAATAGAGAGTGGAAGAGGCAGGGGCCTACCTACTTGGGTTCTGAATGTCAAACATGATTAAATGTTGCCTTCCTGCATCCTCTGTGACAAAGTAGTTGCTACTGTTGCTGATTTTGTCTGCAAGGTGCTAGACCTCTTTAGAACTTTGGGGTCTTAGAAGCCATCTAGCATTTACGTGTGTGGTGAGGTATCCATGTGTGGGTATATTTGGAGGGATAACCCCTTCCATCCAGGTCAGCAACCATGACTAGGGTAAGATGGCTGCCCTGAGGCCATTACTGTCCCTTCCTCACCAGACAGTGATGCTAAAAGTATGAACTTCTGGGAAAGGCCATCCACCCAAGCTGGGACTCACGCTTAGCTCCCCTAATCCAGGCTTAGGGATGGGACAAAGGGTGAGCAGGAATGGTCTCACTGCTACAACCCTGCACCCACAACCCATCTCCTGTGACACATGGGGCTGAGCCCAGCAACTCAGGAAGGAGAAGGCTACGCCCTCTGTCCCCCAGGGCCCTAGATCAGGGTGAGCCAAGATCAGGAGATGCTCAGGGCATCCTTACCTCCCCATCTCTCATTTCTGGGAGTGCCTGCACCTTTAGGCCCCCAAAACTACTTTGTGGGAGCTACTACCTCCCATCTACCCCAGTTTGGAGGGAAGGGATCCATCCTGCTCCTCACAGTCCTTTCACCTGCATCTCCTTCTTCCCCACTTTTTCTAGAGGGGATGGAATAGCATAAGAAAAGGATATGTGAGAATAGGAAGACATCAGAAAGCTCAATGGAAGACTTGGAGACTGAAAGACCTCACCCTCCCTCAGACAGAAGTCCTCTGGTCCTCTGGAACACATGTGAGAGATGGAGGGATGGGCTGTCCTCTCGTGGAAGAAAAAATAGGACAGAGAGAGGTGACAGAGAGAGAGAGAAAGAGAGAGAGGTGACAGAGAGAGAGAGAGAGAGAGAGAGAGAGAGAGAGAGGGAGAGAGAGAGAGAGAGAGAGAGAGAGAGAGAGAGAGAGAGAGAGAGAGAGAGATCCTTGAGGAGGGGTAGGGAGAAACCTGTGGGAACAAGAGTCCTTAGAGATCAGTGTGGTGTAGTGGAAAAAGCATTGGATTGAGGAGTCAGGAGTCCTGAGCTCTTGTCTACTGCTACCCTGCGATGTGACCTTAGACCAGTCATCTCCCCTTTCCAGGCTTCAGTTTCCTCCTCTATAAAATGAGGGGGGCTAGACTGGACAGTCTGTAAGGTCCCTTCCACCTCTGACATTCTGTGAGCCAGCCTAAGCAGAGTGGATGGGAGTCAGGGATTCTGGAGGAGGGGGTCTTAGGATACTTCTGAAGGGCACAGAGAGACAGCCCTCTTTGGTGAGATCCGAAGACCAAGAGCCCTTGCCAACATTGCTGGCTGAGGCTGTGGCCCCTCACCTGCGGGAGGATTACTTCCCCAACCCTACCCCTTCCCTGCCCCCACTCTATGGTACTATTTCGAATGCTTATTTCTGTTTTTTCTTTGTTTTTCTTTGTTTTTCTATTTTTTTTCTTCCCAAGACGACTTTTAAAAAAATAAAAGCTTGATTGGAAAATATGTCTGGAACTCTATGGAGCTGGGGCAGGAGGAGGAACGGGTTGACTGTGGAAGAGGGTGGATCGGAGAGGATGGAAGACGGAAAAGGGTCGGCAAGGGATGAAGGGTATAGATGGCAGGAGAAGGGAGACTGGGAGGGACAGAGGGGAAAGGCATGAGGTGGGCTGATGGGGGATGGGGAGAGACAGTTAGATGGACTCCACATAGTTGGCGGGATAGAGGCCAAGTTGTCCGCTGTCCAGACGACCTCGGCACCAACCCTGTTCATCTTCTTCTCCCAGTTTGGTAAGTTCATCTCCTGGAGGGACATACCATGACACAGGGGTTAGTGGTTGGGGAAGAACGGAATGCAGTTTGAGTATGCATCCCCAAGATTCTGGAAATGAGGACCCATAATTCTACCTTATATACTGCCTGGAATCCTTCTCTGCCAGGCTCCCAATAGTCCACAATTCCATGTTCCTCATTCCAATCTCTATCCCCTGAGCCCTTGCCTTTCAGGTCCCATATACCTTTACTCTTGTAGTCTGCTACCATATCTACATCTATCCCCTCTTTGTGAAACTTTTGTTGAGTCGCACCCTCAATACTCCCTGCTGCCTTCTCACAACTGCCCAATGCCTGTCCTCTCCCAGCTGCCCCCATGTCCCCGACTTTTTTAGTTCTTCATGTCATCTAATATTCTTATGTCATCTTAGTTATACTTGTCATCTAATCCCTGGACAGAAACTCTACTCCTTGCTCACCCATGCCCTGTACCCCCTCACCACCACCCTCCCAGGCCCCCCAGGTCAAACCTGCTTTGAAGCTGAGCTCATCCTGCTCCTGACCATCATAATCATAGAGTGCCCGAACACGCACCCCCTTGGCATCATCCTCAAAGGGGTTGGCACCCCCGTTGGCCTCACCCGCCCCGAAGGGATTTCCACTCTCATCATCAGACCATTCAGCGGCATATGGCTGGCCTCGGTCATAGCTGCTGACGCTGAGTGGAGGGGGACAGGGGAAGGGGGATGGAGATCATCATTGGCCTTGTCCTCAAGGGGTTTTTCACCCTCCCCCAGCACAAATCACAGAATCACAGAATTTTAGGGCTGAAAGAGACTATGAGGTCATCTGATAATCTAGGCTAACCCAGACACCAAAGGATTCTCTACTATAATAAACCCCACAGCTGGTCACCCAACTTCAGCTGGAACAGGTTCTAGAGGGAGAGAAACCTGAGTTCAAATCCTGCCTTAGACACTTATCAGCTGTGTGTTCCTGGGCAAGCCACTAAGCCTCCGTTTAGCCCAATTTCCCTCATCTGTAAAATGGGGATAATAATAGAATACATCTCCCAGGGTTGTCGTGAGGATCAAAAGAGATAATATTAGTAAAGCACTTGTAAAGTGCTATATAAATGCTAGCTAAAAAAAAAATGAAGGGCAGCTCATCACCACGTAAGGCAGCCCATTCTACTTTGGAGCAGCTCCATTGATCAAGAAATTTTTCCTGACATCAAGCCTAAATTTTCGCCTTTGCAAATGGCATCTACCTGCTCCTGGCTTCTGCCCTCTCTCTTTCATACGGCAGCCTTTCAAAGACCCTGCTCTAAACTTCTTTAAATGATGGAAAGTGTTAGAAGATGGGATCAGGAAGAGGAGACTGCTCTACAGTGGTTCAGAGTCAAGACACCTGGATTCAAATCCCAGCTTCTCTTCTGACTAGCTGAGTCACCCTAAGCAAGTGATCCTGATCCTTCTTCCTTGGGGGGGAAAGAAAAAGTTTGTGCCTCAATTTCCCCATCTGTAAAATGGAGCTACAGGCAGGCTTCATTTTAAGCAATCCCAGGAAAGAGGGTATCTAATTATTTGCATTGCAAAGGATCTTTTATAGATTTCCTTAAATAGTGTCTCTTCCCCAATACATTCCAAATAAGATTCAATTTAAGCATCTTCTATCAAAATGTTATCAGTGCACAAAGCAAGGGGCACATGAAATCTTCCCTGCTCTGTCTATAGAACTAGGCTGCCAGGAATAACAAAAAAAGACAATGGGGAAACATTTTTTAAGTGCTTTAGGAATATGAAAGGTGATGTCATTGTTATTGTTAAAGGCCTAGAATTTCAGTTATAAGGGACTTCCAAGACTATTTAATCTAATCTACACCTGCTAGAATTATAATAATTTACTAACAGACCCTGCAAGCCCAATGCTTGGGCACATCTCTGGGCAACAAGCAAGCTCCAGTGAAGGACCAACTTCAGAGGCGGGGGAGAGAAGGTATGCCCACCTGGTACTCACCTGCCACGGTCCCCAGCCTGGGCCATAGACTCTGTCACACCCGAGGCATTGGTCAGGGTCACGCCCTCGTTCTTCTTGGGCAGTTTCTCCTTCCTGGTGATGGTGAGGTCTGGGTTCCACTCCTAGTGTCAGTATGGGGTATGGGTATCTGTGAGGTTGCTCCCTGCCCCCTCCATGTGACTCCCTCCTCCTGGCTCTCCCTGCCTCTTTTTCACCAGCCCCAAGTCCGCCTCCACACACCACAAAGGCAGGACACTGACCTCAAACTGAGGCCAATTCATGGGCATTCCGGGCCCACTGGAGCTTCGGAACCACTTGAGGTCTTCCTGGGCATCGGCCCCCCGGATCGTCTGCTCCAGCTCACGGTACACATTGATGTAACTGGGCAAGGGAGAAATCGGGGGTGGTCATTCAAGTCTCTGCCTTAAGTTCAGGTGGAGAAACCAGACCATACCAGGATCCAGCTCAGGCCACCATTCTGGAGGTCATCAAGATTCTTCTGAGAGCACTTCAGATCAGCCCCAAGGCTACCTACCACATAGCATGGGCACACTGAATGTGCCTACCTAAAGCTGGTACAAAGTGACCATGCAATGGTGGCAATGGAGTCCAGAGCCTCTTCCTTCTTTCTCCTCCCACTCTGTCAAATTGTAGTATTAGAGAGACATCATGGTATAGCAGATAGGCTTGGAGACTTGAAAGGCCTGGGTTCAAATGCTACCTCTAACGCATTATAGCTCTAGGACCAAGAGCAAGTTTAAATGATTCTCTCTGACCCTCAGTTTCCTCATAAGCAAAATGGTAATAATAATACTTGTAGCACCTACCTCACTAGGTTGTTGTAAAGATTGAATGAGATAATGTCTGTCAGTCAGTGGGTGAATAAATATTTAAGTAGCTACTATGTACCAGGAAAAAAGTGGCTAGGTGGCACAGTGGATAGAGTGCTGGACCTGGAGTAAGGAAGACCTGAGTTCAAATCTGGCTAGCTGTGTGACCTTGGGCAAGTCACTTCACCTGTTTGCCTTAGTTTTCTCATCTGCAAAATGAACTGGAGAAGGAAATGGCAAACCAGCTCCAGTATTTTTGACACGAAAGTCCCAAATGGGGTCCCGAAGGAGTCAAACAGAACTGAGAATGACTGAACATCTGTATATATATGTGAGAAGCTTGGAGCATGTTAAAGGCAGTGTTGCACTCTTCCCATGTCACAGCTGGGCCGGCTGAGCTCTCAAGCCCCTTAGGGCAACAATCTCAAATGTGTCTGGGCTGCCAGCCGAGACCTCATCACTCCAACTGCTCAAAAAGCTCCCGTGACTCCCTAGTACCTCTTAAGAGAAAACAGAGACTGCTTTCCTTTCCAGTCTGGCTCCAGCTTGTCTTTCCAGGCTCGTGGCCCGTGACCCCTCCACATGTGGTCCATGCTGTCACCAAACGGACCCTCACGCAGTTCCCTGAATTCCACCTCTGTCTCCCTGCACAGGCGGTTCCCTGGGCAGAGGCGGGGTGGGGGCCGGGCCAGGGGAGGGGAGAAGAGGGCGGGAGGTGGGGAGGGAGGTTTACTCCTCCTAGTCACCTTCCCTTCAAGGCTCAGTTCAAGGGCACTTCAAGGAGACTTTCCTGAGCCCACTGTGTTGTTAGTACCTCCCCTCCCCATCAATGCGTATTTATTTTGCCTATACTCCGTATTTACTTATCTGTGAACATTTATCCTGATAGTAAAACGTAAACTCCTTGAGGACAGGGACTCTTCCATTTTTGTCCTGATGTCTCTAGCGCAGTGTCTAGCCCACAGTAAGCCCTAAATCAGTGCTTGAGGATCGATTCAGGCACAAAGCAAGGCGGTTAGACTGGACAGGAGATGAGCTCTTCTGCCCTGAGTCCTGTTATCCTAGGGTCTTAGCCCCTCCCCCCCATGCCCAGCACAGGTACCTGCTGTTCTCCGCCAAGTTGAGGTGACGCTTTATATCCAAGAGCACCTCCTTCAGGAAAACCAGCCTCTTCTCCTCGAACTGCTGGCATTGCTCGAATATCTGCTCCATGCCTTCCATGTACTGGGGTGTTGACTTGCCAATCTCATCCAGCACCTTCTCATATTTCTCTTGGGTCTGTTGAGGAAGGAAGGAATGTAGGGAGGGAGAGAGGGAGGGAGGAAGAAAGGAAGGAAAAGAGGGAAGGAAGGAAGGAAGGAAGGAAAGAAGGGAGGAAGAAAGGAGAGAGGAAGGAAGGAAGGAAAGGAAGGAAGGAGGAAGGAAGGAAGGAGGAGGAAGGAGGAAGGAAGGAGGGAAGGAAGAAAGGAGGGAGGAAGGAAGGAGGGAGGGAGGAAGGAAAAGAAGGAACGAAAAGGAGGGAGGGAGAGAGGGAGGAAGGAAGGAAGGAAAAGAGGAAGGGAGAGAGGAAGGAAGAAAGGAAGGAAGGAAGGAAGGAAGGAAAGGGAAGGAGGAAGGAAGGAAGGAAGGAAGGAAAGGGAGGGAGGAAGGAAGGAAGGAAGGAAGGAGGAGGGAGAGAAGGAAGGAAGGAAGGGAGGGAGGGGGGAAGGAAGGAGGGAAAGGAAGGAGGGAGGGAGGAAGGAAAAGAAGGAACGAAAAGGAGGGAGGGAGAGAGGGAGGAAGGAGGGAAGGAAAAGAGGGAGGGAGAGAGGAAGGAGGGAAGGAAGGGAGGGAGGGAGGAGGGGCACGCTGAAGCCTGAGGACCTTTAGGATCTTCCCTTCCACCCCCACCCCCACTACCCCTATCCAGGGGCTAGGCTCATAAATGTTTAACAGCAGCTCTCAATTTAAAAAGAGAGAGAGAGAGAGAGAGAGAGAGAGAGAGAGAGAGAGAGAGAGAGAGAGAGAGAGCTTGACACAGTTTTGAGTTTAATCTGCATTATTAACATCTTCACTTTCACATTTCTGGACTTATGAAATATCAAGCCTTGGATTACACCTTTGCTGATTTCTAAAATTTAAGTGCTCACAATGAAAATGTAGCAAATTTAACAATCATCTCCAGGGAGCCAGTATGAGTTGGCTCCAGCACATGCCTGCATCCACCCTCCCCATGCTGGAGCCTGTGGTAGCCACTGCCCCCAGTGCCCCCACCCCCACTCCATAATCTGCAGGCATGCCCTTCCACATCCTCCCCTCCCCTTCCCAGCTGCAGACCCAGACCTTCTGTACATCCTGCTTGCACTTGTCCACTTTGTCCTGGAGTTTCTTCTGCTGTTCCGGGGTGACTGACTGCTCTGCCTTGCTGTTAGCCTCCCGGGTCACTGCCAGCTTCTCCTCTTTGCAGGCCAAGTGGTAGGCCTTCTTTGCTGCCTCCAGCTTTCAGAGATGGGGAAGTTAATAGCCAGCATTTATATAATGCCTTAAGGTTAGTAAAGCAGGGAGGCAGGGACTATTACTACCCTCATTTTACAGACGGAGAAACTGAGGCTAGAAGAGGTGAGGTGAGTTGTATCCCCGGTGTCTAGCCCAAGGCCTTGCAATAGTGGGGGTTTAATTACCAGTTACTGAATGACTAACTGAATAAGTACAGGGCCCCTTCTTTCCTCATTGACAAGGCAGTGACCCAATGGACACCATCCATCTAGAAAAAAGTATCCTTTGGCCAGGAATACCTCCCTGTTGATTCCAATAGCATCATAGACTTAAGAGCTGGAAGGGATCTTAGAGGCCATGGAGTCCAATTCCCTAATTTTATGGATGAGGAAACTAAGGCAGATAGAGGGCAAGTAACTTGTCCAAGGTTATAACAGCTAGTAGGTGTCTGAGGGGGGATTTGAACCCAGGTCATCATGACTCCAGGGCCAGTGCTCTATCTGCTACTACATGCTGCCTCTCTCTAGGTTTCCTGTTGCTTTTACCCACAAGGAATCTCACACCCTTCCCCCTAGACCCCTTTCCCCACCTCGCTGTGGGTACCTCTTTCATCTTCTTGGCCCAGGGTTTCTGTGCTTTCCGGAAGCCATCCTCAGCCTCCTTCGTCTCCTTGAAGCCGCCCATGATCTGCTTGTGGTAGGCATCCTTCTGCCAGTTCTTCACCTTCTCCAGGTCATCATTGACCAGACTGTTCTTCACGTCCTGATGCAGCTCACTTACCTTGTCAGCCTCCGTCATGATGGCACCCCACGCACGCTCCAGGCTGCCATACTGTGGGCCTGCAGGGAGAGAACCGAAGCCTGGGCGTGAGCTGGGTGAGACACAGCAGGTGCCTGCCTGCCTCTGACACCTGTACATGACTGAAGGAGAGCAACCCTCCCTCTTCCGCTCCCCCTCTCCCTGCTCTACCCAGAACCCAAGTCTGGGCAGGGAACCTAAGGAATGCTCATATCTGACTTGTGCTGCATCCTGGGGTTTCCTGAGTTCAATTCAACTGAACAAAAGCACCTTCAATGTGCCAGGCACCATGCTAGGCGGAGGTGTAGGTCAACAGGCTAGAGCTTTGGGTCAAATCTAATGAGATCGAATTTAGCGGGGATAGATATAGAGTCATCAGACGTAAATTTAGAACTGGAAGAGACTTCAGAGGACAGCTAGACCAACTTCTTCACCTTATAGATGCAGAAATGGGGGGCCAGAGAGGTCAAGTGATTTATTCAAAGTCACATAGGTTAATTGAAAATAAATATATATAATTTTTTTTGAAAGTCACAAAGATAAGTGTCAGAGGCAGAATTTGAACCTAGATCCTCTAACATTAGATTTAGTTCTCTTTCTACTGTGTGTTCTGTGCCAGCAGACGCATCTTCCTGCTTTTCTGAATCCTACCCAGGTTATATGGTCACAGGATTTGAAGTAAAAAGGGGACACTTTAGAAATCACCACATCTGAGTCCCTCATTTTATAGATGAGGAAACTGAGGCCCAGAAAGGCGACAAGACTTGTCTAAGGTCATAAAAACAGAGAAGTAGCAAAACTAGGGCTTTAAATCTAAGTGCTCTGTCTGCAAACACAGTATATTTACTGCTATATCACAACCCCACAGTCTCCACCTCAGAAGAGTTTCTCCTAATGCCTATCTCAAGACCTTCTTCTTGGCCATCCATTAAGGCCCAAGTCATAGGAATATGAGCTAGGAAGGACCTCTGATGCTCGCTGGTCAACCCATCCCCTACTTTCACAGCGGCTCTCAGAGGTAAAGTACTTTGCCAAAGGTCACGCAGAAAGTGAGTGTCAGGGGTGGGATTTGAACACAAGTCCTCTGACTCGGCAGTCAGTGCATGGCTTCCACAGTGCCAAGCTGCCTCCTTTAATCCTGTTTCCTCTAGGAAGCCTTTCCTCACCTCTCTCCCTCTCCTCCCAACTCCCAAGAGCTCTTCCTGCCTAGACTATGACTTCTCATACTAGTCACCGGTTTGTGTGCTTGTATGCATTCATGTGTGCGTGCGTGCGTGCATTATCTCCCCACTCTGCTGCAAGATCCTTAAAAGTAAGAACCAAATCCTATACACTGGTCCTGGAGTCAGGAAAACCTGAGTTCAAATCCAGCCTCAGACACCAGCTATGTGACCCTGGGCAAATCATGTAATCTCTATGTGCCTCAGTTTCATTAACTGTAAAATGGAGATGACAGTAACAGCACTCACCTCCCGAGTGCTGTGAGAACCAAATGAGATAATATTTGTGAAGTGCTGGCCTCAGAGTTGTCGCTTCATAGACAACAGTTCCCCCAGCCCCAATCCCACCCCCAGCACTTCTGTCTGGCCCACAGGGAAGACATCTCTAATTTCTGGCAGCATTTCCTTGAAGCTCTTCAGGCTGCCTCTCATCCTCAGCAGAAGGTGCCTCTGCTGCCTGTATCCTTTCATTCAGCATAGCCGGCCTCTTCTCAATGATGTCCACAGACTTGGTGAGCTGAGACACAACCTCTGCCTGTCTAGCACAGGCCTGGGCACACAGCTGGTGCTAAGTAATAATAATAGTTTCAATTCCCATAGTGCTTTCATGTTTACAAAATACTTTCCCACATGTACAGAGTACAGATGTATAATCCCATAAAGTTAAGTGCTATTACCCCCATTTTACAGCTGAGGAAACTGAGGGTCAGAGGGGTAAAGGACCTGCCTAGTAAATAGTTAGAGGGTCATATGATCTAGAGTTGAAAGGGAACTTAGCCTTCATCTTGCCCAATCCCTTCATTTTACAAAAAGGGAAAATTGAGACTGTGAGGGAAATGACTTACCCAAGGTCACTTAGATAGTAAGGAGCAGAGCTAGCACTTGGACCCAGGCTCTCTGACTCTAAACTCAGGGCTCTTTCCTCTGTGCCACTCTTGTTGAATTACTGAATGACTAAAATGAACCTGAGGTCAGGGTGGGACCCAGATGTGGCCAGGAGGGCCTCCCACGATCTCCCTCCCCTCCTCAGGCACAGCCTCCAATAGATAGAAGGACCACCATTACCCAGATGGTTTTAACAGGGCCTGTTTGCCTTTTGTGAGTGAGGGGTGGCCAGGGCTAGGTCCCCCTGCTTATGTTCCTCCCCTGAGCATGGGAGGGGGCCATAACTGCTGTTTGCCAGTTTGGGGGTGGGATGGTGTGGGGGAGAGCACGAGGGCACCTTTCTCGAGGAGCTGGCGCCAGCGCTTGGCCCAGTCTGTGAGCTGCTGGGCGTAGGCCTTCTCGATCTTGGCTCGCTCATGAAGGCAGCTCATGAGGTCATTGCAGAGCCGGTGACCATCATCGATCCGCTTTACCGTCCGCTTGTAGTTTCCCACCTGGAGGAACCCCAAGGACAAATGGGCAGCCCCACTCCCCAGCTACCCTGGCTGTTGCTACCCTGGCTGTTGCTACCCTTCAAGTGGGACCTCTCTGGGCCTCACCACTAACGACAGCCTAGCCATAGAGATCGAGAATGATTTTCCTAATCATCCTCCAAGAGCAACAGCCTAACCACCCTCCCCCAAATCATTGTGATCATAACCGTTGGAAGAGCCTCCCTCACAAACAACTTCCACCCCAATCATATCCTGTTGTGTCCCACAGGGGCCCATCCTGAGCAAGGAAGGACTGGCACTACTGAGGCAGATGACCCAGCAGAAACCATCCTGTCCCCCACCTCATCCCACATTCCAGTCTGGTCCACCACACCCTAGCTCCCATATTTCCCACCACCTGCCAAACGTAGAGGGAAGGGAAGTAGATGAGCCCCAAGCAGGTTGTAGAAGGGGTGGGAGAAAAGTTGAGAACAGAGGAGCAAGAAAAAAGAAACTGATATGTTGTCTATATGGAGAAAGATGGAAGAGGGAAGAGGCAGAGAGAGTCACAGAGAGGCAGGCTGAGGACAGGAGAGAGATGAGGGGAGAGAGTAGCAGAGAAATTTAAAAAAAAAAACAAGCAGAAGGACAGGTGAAAGATAGGATAGCTCACACAAATATAGCACCTTTAGGTTTACAAAATGCTTTCTTCACACCCACCTGGCGAGGTAAGTAATGAGAGCATTAATCTCTCCATTTTACAGATATGCCAACTGAGGTTCAGAGAGGGTAACCTGCCCAGAGTCAAACAACTAGTAAGGATGGCATAAGGGACAGGAAGTAAGGGAGACAGGGAGTTAGAAGATTAGGATTAGAACATTAGAAGCAAAGAAATACAGGCCTGAAAAAGAAATCCTGAACCACACCCCGGACTAAAATTTAAGAAAAGCTCTATTTACCTTTTATTAATTACTCAATAATAGGGGATAGGGCTTAGACCTGTGATTTCATTGATTTAGGGAACTCCCAGGAAGGAAACTACCTCTACTTTCCTGCAACATGTGCTCTTGGAGAGTTGTCTAGGGTGCTGAGAGGTAAATATTTTGGCTACAGTCACACAGCCAGTGTACATCAGAAGCAGAACTTGAATCCTGGTCTTCTGGACCTCTGAGGCCACCTCTCTGACCATTGTACCACAGCTGCTGCCATCACCATCATCAACATCATCATCATCACCATCACCCTCATCACCCTCACCATCGCCATCACCATCCTCCTCCTCATCACCATCCTCCTCATCACCATCCTCCTCATCACCATCACCACCATCATCACCCTCATCATCCTCACTTTCATCACCACCATCACCATTATCACCCTCATTATCCTCACCACCATTATCACCATCCTTCCTCATCCTCCTCATCATCACCACCATCATCACCCTCATCACCCTCACCATCATCATCACCACCCTCCTCCTCCTCCTCATTATCATCATCACCATCACCACCATCATCATCCTCACTCTCATCACCATCACTACCATCATCACCCTCATCATCCTCACTTTCATCACTACCATCATCACTCTCATTATCCTCATCATCACCATCACCATCCTCCTCCTCATCACCATCCTCCTCATCACCATCACCACCATCATCATCCTCACTCTCTTCACCATCATCATCACTATCATGACTCATTCTTATAATGTTTTCATATTTACAAAGGTCTTTCTTCACAACAACGCTGTGAGGTGGTTCCCTCACGAATTATTACTCCTTTTAACTTTGGTTGCTGTTATTCAGTTGTTTTCAGTTATATCTGACTCTTTGTTACCACATTTGGGGTTTTCTTGGCAAATAAAGTGGAGCAGTTTGCCATTTCCTTCTCCAGCTCATTTTGCAGATGAGGAAGCTGAGGCAAACTGGGCTAAGTGACTTGCCCAGGGTCTCACAGCTAGTGAGTGTCTGAGGCCAGATTTGAACTCAGGTCTTTCTGACTCCAGGCCTGGTGCTCTGTCCACTGTGCTGCCTAGCTGTCCATTACTCCTTACTAAGTAAATAAGGACCCTGATAACCACTCCCTTCACTCCCCTGCCCCCCAAGTAAGCAGTCCACAATGCAGAGGGCATCTAAAACAGATGAAAGGGCATCTAAAATAGTAAGTAAGCTTCTAGAAGAGGAGGAAGAGAGGATGGAAGGTATGAGAGAGACACAAAATGGTGGACAAAGGTTTGATTTGGGTTGGTGGGTCATGAGAGGTCTCAGGGGAGACAGGAGAGTGGATGGAGCTTCTCTGAAATGGTCACCCTGCTCCCTCTTGTGGCTATAATATGCCAAATAAATTCTCCAGAACGGCTGTGAAGGAGGGCAGGGAGGAAGTAAGATGGGTGGAGGGTTGGATGGGAAGAGGAGGAAGAGAAATAATACCAAGGCAGGGCAATGAGGGAATCCAGGCCCAGGTGCTACTGAAATATGGACAGGAGGATGCTGAGCATTCGTCCTACAGGACTGGCACAGGGCCCCCCCAAGGTTGTGGCCCCTTCTGTGGAACGTTAGGCAGAGGTAGGACTGGAATCTGGGAGGGAAGGGTATGTGAGAAGAAGGGTTGGGGAAGGGGGGGGGAAATCTCACCTCCCAGAAGCTGTCTGTGATCTCCTCCATTGAAGGTGTGGCCTCATCATAGGAGCCAGACATGGTGCCTGGGGTTGGGGGTTGGGGCTGGGCACTGGGCTGCAGCCAGAGACAAACCTCTGCTCATGCACTGAAAGACAGGAGAGAAAAGGGTGGAGGGAGATGCGACAGCCAGCTCTCCCCCTCTACCGCCACTCCCAATATCTACCTCTTCCCGCAGCTTCAAAGCCCTGAACCTAGCTGAGAACTCAGAGGTATATAAAGTTTTGAGTCATAAGGGACCTTAGAAATCACCCATTCCAACCTCCTCATTTTACAGAGAAAGAAACTGAGGTCAGAGAAGTGAAATGATGTGCCCAAGATCACAAAGCTTGTCAGTAGCAAAGCCAGAACCCGAGTCTCTTGACTTTCATTCTTTTTCAGTGGTTTTTCCACTGTTCTCCATTAGCTCTGTAATCCAGGAACAGGACTGGCACACAATCCAAAGATAGGTTCCTACAAGGGTCATTTTGGGTAAAGTAGCACTGAACCGCATCTCAGCCAATTCCCAGATCTTAAAGCCCTGGTGGAGTGGAGCATGGAATCTCAGCGCTCCCACTTTGGAGAGTGGGGATCCCTCCTGGATTGCACCAGAAAACTAGTGCTGATTTTGTTGTAGTTCAGTTGTTTCAGCTGTGTCTGACTCTTCATGACCCCATTTGGGGTTTTCTTGGCAAAGATACTAGAGTGGTTTGCCATTTCCTTCACCAGCTCATTTTACAGTTGAGGAAACCGAGGCAAACAGAGTTAAGTGACTTGCCCAGAGTCACCCATCTAGGAAGTGTCTGAGGCCAGATTTGAATTCAGGCTTGGTACTCTATCCACTGTGCCACCAATATTTTAGGTTAATTCATCCAAAAGAATACTCTATATCTGCCCTACCCCTTTGGTCTCCACCACATGACCTCAGATTGCTGGGCTCTAAATTCGAGAGCTCTGCGAATGCTGTCTCTTTGTACCACCCCCCTTCCCCATTCCCCCCAGTGCAGGAAGGAGAATGCCAGTCACAAAGGATACATCTTTGCATGACTCAGCCAATGATGAAATCTTAATTCAAAGGAATTCAAACTATGCATAAACTAAAAGGCAGTAACAAAAGGTATGATGGAGCACAGTAGGTGACTTGAACTTGATAAGTGGAAGCAAATGTTTAGAGCTACAGGGGGCTTCCTAGTCTTCCCCCTCATTTTCTTTTTATTAATTTTTTTAGTTTTCAACATTCGCTTCCATAAGCTTTTGAGTTTTTTGTTTTGATTTTTGGTAAGGCAGTCGGGGTTAAGCGACTTGCGCAGGGTCACATAGCTAGTAAGTGTCAAGTGTCTGAGATCGTATTTGAACTCAGGACCTCCTGACTCTTAAGACTGGAGTTCTATCCACTGCACCACCTAGCTGCTTCTAGCTTTTGAGTTTTAAATTTTCTCCCCCTCCCTCCCAACCTTCCTCCCCAAGATGGCGTGCAATCTGACATAGGCTCTACATATACATTCCTATTAAGCACATTTTCACTTTAGTCATGTCGTAAAGAAGAATTAGAACCAATAAGAGGAACCACAAGAAAGAAGAAACAAAATAAAACAGAAAGAAAAAAAGAGCAAATTGTATGCTTCGATCTGCATTCAAACTCCATAGTTCTTTCTCTGGATATGGATAGTATTTTCCTTCATGAAACTTTTGGAGTTGTTTTAGATCCTTGCATTGCTGAGAAGGGCTAAGTCTATCAAAGTTAGTCATCGCAAAACGTGGCTGTTACTGTGTACAATGTTCTCCTGGTTCTGCTCACTTCACTCAGCATCAGTCCATACAAGTCTTTCCAGGTTTTTCTGAAGTCTGTTTGCTCACCATTTCTTACGGAACAATAAATAGTATTCCATTACATTCATATACCACAACTTGTTAACCATTTCCCAATTAATGGGCATTCCCTCAATTTCCAATTCTTTGCCACCACAAAAAGAGCTGCTATGAATATTTTTGTACATGTGGGTCCTTTTCTCATTTTTATGATCTCTTTGCCTCCCTCTCATTTTAAAGGGGAAAATTGAAGTCCACCATAGGAAAGTGACTTGTTCAAGGTCAGACAGGTAGGTAGGAAGTAGCTTGAGCCAGGCTTAAAACCTCATGCCTCAGTTTCTTTCTGCTACACCACCCTCTCTCCCCCCTTTTGCTGCCTTCACAGTTCATAGTATGCACACATACTAAGCACTCGATAAGTGTTGGCCAGTCTATGAATATCCTCCCTCCCCCACTCCCGTTTTCAGTATCCCAACCCATTGGCAAGGGTGTCCCTGCCCGGCCCCAGCTGGATGCTAAGAGATACCACCTCCCTGTGGCTCCCCACCTCCCTCCTCTGTAGTAGAGCTCCACGGCGCAGCTGAAACACCCAGTTCTTCTCCTCAGTTTCCCCTGTACTGTGTAAACCTCTGTACAACAGTCAGCGCACTCTCCCCAGCTCTGCCTATCCAAATGTTTCTTTTCCCTTAAAAGCTTAACCTCTTCTTCCTCACAGTCTTTCCTGATTACTACCACCCTTCCTGAAAGTGACCTCTCCATTTTCACATTTCTTGTAGAACACTTTGGAACTTCCCCATGTTTCTCTTACAATCTATCTTGTATTCTACTTTATCTGTGGACATGTTGTAGTCCTATTAAAGTCGTGAAATCTTGAAGGGGAGTGATTATGTCATTGTCCATCTCTGTATCCCATTGCCTAGCTCAGTGCCTGGCTACCCAGTAGGAAATTAATAACTATCTGTTGAATGGAATTTATTGGGATCCCTCGGTGTATAGATGGCCCTATCTTCCTCGTGCTCCCCCTATTACAGACTCAATTCCCCCTCGCCCCTTTCAGCTACAACGTGGTTCTGCCAATGTCCCAGTTGTCCCTGGCGAAGCCAACGAGGGGCACAAGCCCTGAACTTCCCACTCCTTCCCTCTTCCCTTAAGCAGGGACTGCCAGACCTGACCCTCCTCTTAGAAAATGTTCATCTGCCTTCCTCTGGCCAGCGGATCAGCCAGGATTTGCTCAGCTGTCTGTGTGTTGATCTGCCCTTGATCTGTCTGTCTGCACCCTACTATCCAATTTAGCCTGCAAGTTTCTGCAAGGCAGAGACTGTGTGACTCCTCCTCCACCCTCAACAGATCCTCTGCTAGCCTCTTAACACACAGAGAAAGCTCATCACCGTCCCTCACCCAGGAATTCCAGGGCAAACCAACTAGAAAGGGAACAGAACTAGGCCTCAGAGAGTGAGGCCTGTGTCCAGCTAAAACCTACCCTGAGCTGCAAGACCTGTTTATAGGATCACAGAATTTGGAGCCAGAAGGACTGCTAGAGCTCATCTAATCCACATCACTCATTTTCCAGGGAAAGTGAGTCTCAGAAAATAGAAATGACTTGGCCCTATATCACAGAAGTAGCTGAGATCTAAAACCTGGTCCCTTGATTCAAAATAAAATGCCTTTTCATCACTCCATATTGCTGGCAGTCCAACTGCTGCCTGCTATGCTCAGTTGCCAAATTATCATCTCCCTCTGCCACAAAGCACTGACCAATAAGGACCTCATGAGAACTCCGCTCAATCCGGGAAGTCAAGGAGATGCCCCATCCCATCTGACTTCCCAACCTATCTGCCCCCTCATAACCTGAGAGATTTCCATACGTCCCAAGCAGCAAAACCAAGGACAGTAAGCTCTGGGATCCTTCTAAAATCTTCACAGGAAAGGATCAGATAAATTCAGTCACAATAAGGTGTAAATGGTTAATAAGAACTTTTGAAATATCATATTCTTATTAATACTTTCTACCTGTAGAGCCAAATAAGGTTCCTGCACAGCTATTGTCTCATCTGAAACATGGCGCTCTCATTTCCATCCCCAACCTTCTTGACTTCTCTGCCGCATTTGACACTGTCGATCACCTTCTCTTCCACGATATGTTCTCCTTTCAAGGTTTTCCTGACACAGCTCTCCCTTGATCCTTCTACCTGTTTGAGCATGCCTCAGTCTCCTTTGCGGGATCCCCTAATTGCAGATGTAGCCCAAGGGCTCTGTCTGGGCTTTCTTCTCTTTTCTCACTCTCTCACTTGGTGACCTTATCAGCTCCAGTGGGTTTAATTATTTCCTCTATGCTGATGACTCACAGATCCATATACCCAGTTCTCCATCTCCCTCCCTAATAGACATTTCAAACTTAAATCCTACCAGCCTCTGCAATTTCCTCTACATGTCCAAAGCAGAACTTGTTATCTTCCCTCAACATTTGCTGTTGAGTCATTTTTCAGTTGTGTCTGACTCTTTGTGACCCCATTTGCAGCTTTCTTGGCAAAGAAACTGGAGTGCTTTGCCATTTGCTTCTCCAGCTCATTTTATAGATGAGGAAACTGAAGCAAACAGGGCTAAATGACCTACCTGTCCAGGGTCATGCAGCTAATAAGTGTCCAAAGCCAGATTTGAACTTAGGAAGATGAGTCTTCCTGATTCCAGGCCTGGCATTCTATCCACTGTGCTACCTAGCTCTGCATCCCCTCTACCAAAAGGCACCATCATCCTTCCAGGCACCCACATTCAAAACCTCATGGTCACTCTTATTCACTACAATAATAATAATAATAATAATAATAATAATAATAATACCTAATATTTATATGCCAATTTAACATTTGTAATAATGTCTCACTTGATCCTCTCAACAACCCTATGAGGTTTATATTACTAGCATCCCCATTTTTCATATGAGAAAACTGAGTCTGAAAAAATTTAGCCACTTGTCCAACGTCACACCTCTATTAAGTGTCTGAAAAGGGATTTGAACTCAGGTCTTCCTGACTCCAAGTTCACCTCTCTTATCAACTACACTACAGTCCTTCTCTCAGTCAGTTGCTAAATCTTGTCATTTCTACCTCCACAACTTTTCCCCTCTCCATTCTCTTCTTCCCAATCTACACAGCCGGCATCCCAGTCCAGTCCCTTATCACCTCTCGTCTGGACTATTGCAATAGCCTTCTGATTGGTCTCTCTGCCTGAAGTCTTTCCCCACTCTAATCCATCCTTCACCTACCTCCCAAAATGATTTTCCTAGGTCCGACCACGTCTCAC